TCTATCTCTCTCTCTCTCTCTATCTCTCCACACCTTCCTGACTCGCTCTTTCGCCTTGCTTCTACCCTACCACCCTCCGCCCCTCTCTCCCGATCTACCTCCCTACCTACCTACCTACCTACCTACCTACCTACCTACCTACCTACTCTCCCAAACTCCCCACCTTCATGACTCCCCGTCCCTCCCTCTCTCTGCCTCGCAACATGGCTTCCTTCTCTCTCCCTCTCTCCATCTCACTCTATACCCTTGTCCCTGCTTCTCTTCCGCTCCTCCCCCTTCCCCTCTTTTCTGCCCTACCTCCGCCCTTTCCTCCCGCCCTAGCTTTCTTCCTTCCAACCCTACCCCCCTTTCATGTCGAACCCTACCTCCCTTCAAGCCTAACCCTACTCCCCTTCATGCCCAACCTCCCTCTCCCTCCATAGCTTCTTTCTGTCCCGATCCTTCCATCTCCCTTGCTACCCTCGGCCCCACCTCTTCTCTTCCCCTGTCCTCCTCCCTCCGATCCCCTCACTCCCTCTCTCTCTTCTTCCCTCCCTCCCTCCCCCCCCCTCTCTTCCCACTCCCTCGTCCCCTCCTCCCTCCCTCCCCCTCCTCCTCCATCGTTTCTTTTTTGTCCTCTTCGCTCTGTGAATCCCGACTTGTACTTCACACCTTCCTTCCACTCTTCGCTTGCTCTTTCCCATCCATCTCCCCCTCCTCCCATCCTCCCATCCTCCCCCCCTCCCATCCTCCCCCGACCACATCGCGGTTCCGTATAGTCGCGACTGTACGGAGAGAGAAACGACAACAACAAGAAGAGCGATGGCTGCACAACCGAACAGAGCAGCGGTGCCATGCCATTGGGTACAGGACCAGCGCGGGGCCAACGAAGGAACGGACCAGGGCGGGAAAGACTATGGAGACGAGCGATGAAAAGAGCGGAAAGAGAAGAAGCGGAGGAGGAGGAGGGAATTGAGAAGAGAGCGGGAAGGAAAATCACGACTCTGATCAGTTTAATATCTGATCATTCCCGAAAAAAAAAATAAGAATAAATAAATAAATAAATAAAAGAAAGAGCGGGAAGGAAAATCACGACTCTGGCTGACCGGACCGCGAATTCCCGAAGAAAAAAAGAAAAAAAGAAAAGGAAAAAAAAATGCGGCGAAGAGAGAAACGGTAGGAAGAAGAAAGTGACGACGGGGCCTCGCCACAGCAGTGTAGAAACGAGAGAAGGACGAGTGCATCTTCCTCAAAAAGTGGGAAGATGCATCGGCTACTATTCATAGCAACGGATGCATGTTACCACTTTCTGAATAGTAACGGATGCATCTTGCCACTTTCTGAGGAAGATGCATTCGTTCGTCTTTTTTCGTTTCGACAGTGGTGTAGACAGCGCTGGGAGGAAGGAAGAAAGGAAGGAAGGAAGGAAGGAAGGACCAAACAGCGCGGGGAGAAGGAAGGCGCAAACACAAACAGCGGTGGCCGGAGGAATGAAGGAGGAGGAGGAGGAGGAGGAGGAGGAGGAGGGAATTGTAAAAAAGAGCGGGAAAAGAAGAAATGGAGGAGGAGGAGGAGGAGGAGGAGGAGGAGGGAAGAGAAGAAACGGAGAAGGCGGGAATTGAGAGTTGAGAAAAGGAGGGCGCGCAAGTAGTCAGAAACAGGACTGCATACATACCGAATTGCAGATCCCAAAAAAAAGCCGCATCGCACAGGTCTCCTTCAGATTGATTTCCGCCCGTTAAATGACCAAGAACATCACAGTACACAGATATAAAAGAATATATATGTATATATATCGTCACAAACAGAACTGCCCGGTAAACCGTAGGCAGAGAGAGAGAAGAGGACAACAAACGAGGGGCTGTGACAAACTGTTTCGTCGGAGTTTCACCGTATATATATATATATATAACAGATATATATATATATAACAGATATATATATATATACCGTCCTCTACTCCCTGTCTGCCTAGGGTTTACCGAGCAGCTCTGTTTCACTATATATATCGTCACAAACAGATATATATATATATATAGTCACATGATATCAGGGCGCCATATGTATATGTATATAGACACGGAGAACATATGCATGTGCTATTTTGTTCGTCGATGTTTTGTCGATGTTTTGTGTTGTTTGTTGATGAGAGCATATGTATGGGCCTCGCTGCACCACTCACAAAATGTGCAAAACGAGTGAGAATGGGCCTCGCTGCACTACTTTCGAAATGTGCAAAACGAGAGTGAATGTTCCGCTAGAATATGGAAAGATCCACCGCCATGATTTTTGTCTTTTGTGCATGTCGAGAGTAGTGCAGCGAGGCCCAATAACATGGACAGGTACACCGTCGTAGATTTACCTTCTTCCCCCAATATACGTATAAGATGGCTCACATACAGCTATAAACAGCTATAATGACCGTACGTTGTATTCGGGGGACGAAGGTAGGTATAGTCTTTTGTGTCATCAAGTGGTGAGTGCTGAATCTCTTCAGATCGAGCACCGACTACTCACCGACCGTGAAGGGAAAGGGAAAAATGACGCTACTGGCCTCAGCTCAGGGCGTAGGGTCTCGTTAGACACTCCTAAAAGTGCCTGTTTTTAGCATAGCGTCTTCTTTAGGACCAAGACGCAATCCTAAATCCAATTTCGCGATCGAAAATGTCAAAAAGGCGTTAGGACGAGTCCTGAGGGATTTAGGATTCCCCAGGCAAAATCGTCCTAAATTTTCCAGTAGCCCCCGACCTACTGAAAAATTTAGGATTCCCGCGTTTCACGGACTGGTTGCGTCGCGCTGTCTACTGGTAGAAAGGGGTCTGCCGGCACGCTGAACCCTATTCCTCGCGCCGCGTCTGTCACCCGCGGGAGGGTTGGTCGGGGCTCCTGTAACCTGCACAAAACACGTCAGTCCACATCCACGAAACAAGGATCATAACAGACCTAGACGAATGCACGACGAACTCATGATACACTGTCTGGAAGGAATAAATAAAGCGGTTCCATTCAGTCTAAAATGATAGGGTGTAATATACTAATCCCAGGCTCTGCCGTACATCTCGCACCTATGTCCGGGAAATCTGTCTGAGTGCCCACGGTTCTGGTCATTAGCCATGGTCTAATCCTCCTCCCGACTGGGTGGCGCCTGTATCGCGCCCGTCGATCCCAGGGAACCGTACTCGAACTCTCCGTGTCAGATGTTGCCTCCCTTGCTGTAGCATATCAGAAAGTGAAATGCACTAACAGCCTAGGATCTAGCAATGATGAAAGTGG